CAAGAAAAGATGAGAGACATCTAGAAACAATATTTTGGGCAGACATAGTTGTGACCTCCTTAACTCGCAGTAATATTGGAGGAAGTTAATAAGAATAAGTCTGCATTAGAAGAGTCAGTGTTGCCAAAGAAGAGATGTAGAAGCAAAGTAATGGAATTAAAATTTGTAAACAACCTATGCATTTCAGAAATTTTAGCTTTGGGATTTTTAATTTTTTTAGTCCTTTAGCCAAAATTTAAAATATAACCAGTGAGAGAAAGTTTCACCTGAATGGATTCTATGGTATCCGACTGAACCAGTCTTCTAATGCACAGGAAATTATTTTTTTAACTCTTAGTTTATGATGGGGGAAGGAGAAGAAGCAAAAGGAGGAGACAGAGGGAAGGAGAGGTAGAGGAGGGAATGGGAGGAGGAAGAGACGGAAAGACTTTAGAAGATGGATCTGAAGCACAGTTAAGAATAGCGGTCATGATGTCTTCTGTTACTACCTCCTTCATTTTATTCCCTCCACTTCACTCCTTTGCCAGCAGGAGCAAATTAATTTTCATAGAACATAGAGTCCGTACAACAGTGTTTAGTATAATATAATGGCATTACTCCCAGAGCACTCAGAAAACTTTTGTTGATGAAAATGTTTGTCTTCCAATTATTATCATCATTCTAATGAGCAGTGACATGCATTGAAGGTGAGAATAAAAGGGGTTCTGGACTACTCACCTGGGGATAACTGGGTGTTGAATAAAAAGTAGAGCAAAAAATTGATATATTCTCTCCCTTTCTTACTCTGAAGTGGAGGTAGATGCCGGAGGATGTAGTGAAGTGATTTAGTCAAGCATAAACCCGGTTCCTTCTCAAGCCTAATTCCAGAGCCACTTCTCTAAACGTGACTTAAGATGTACAAACATCCAACCGTGTTAGGGCAGGACTTCATCCAAGATAATCCTCTATTAAGCTTTAAAAATGGTCATGAAAAGCAGTGGTAACCACACTTCTTGTGTGTGAAATATTTAAATACCTTTGACTGTTGTTGGGACTGCAGACTTGAAATTTGGCAGAGGCTCCTGTGTTCAGTGCTAATCTATTTTGGGGTTTCTTCCAACTTGAGCAGAACAAGAAAAATGTCACCACTTTCATCTGGATTAAAGTTGAGGAAACATACTAACAGGATGCAGTTCTGGTTGTTTTGCTAAGCCTTTTGAAAGAATTATTTGTACAAAAACTGTTTCCTATTGTTAAAAAAAAAACAACTAACTTTACCTTTTAATGTTTTCAGTTTTCTGTCTAATGAGAATTTTAAGTTTCTAATAGCAGTTTCATCTAAAGGTTTCTAGCTGACTTTGCCTTTTATAAAATGGAATGCTTAATAAGTCAGGAAGAGAGAGAAAGGGCTAAGATTTCATCAACTTGTTGACACATCTACAGGTTGAGATCTTTAGATGTTCACACAGCTGCAGACACATCTAAAGCTACAGACATATCTACACAGGCTTCCCAAGTGGCTCCACGGTAAAGAAATAGCCTGCAATGCAGGAGACCCGGGTTCGATCCCTGGCTCAGGAAGATCTCCTGGAGGAGGGCATGGCAACCCACTCCAGTATTCTTGTCTGGAGGACTCCATGGACAGAGGAGCCATGGGATCACAAAGAGCCAGACATGACTGCAGAAAGTGATCACACATGCATGCAGACAGAGAAATGGATGCAGAAAGCTCAAAAGTAAGGGAAATACAGAAAGGTTGTTTGCATTTAAATACACATACCACTGAACATTTGTCCTCTTTCTTTACAAAACCTCCAATCCATCCCTCAGAGCTAAAGTCTACTTCCTCCACATTTCTATTACCTTTTTTCTCATACAAAGTTTTTGGACATAAGTTAACCTTACTTTAATTATTCCTTCAGGTGGACAATGTAATTGCAAAGCATTAGACATCACAAATTAGGGGAAATTATGTCATTTTTTTTTCCCAGTGGAAATTAAATATGTTGTCTAATGATAAAGAATGAGCCTCAGAAGGTCGTGCTTTTCTAATCTGCTCCCAGGCTGGCTGGGGCTCACAGCCTACTCCTGGGCCATCAATATGCAGAACTAGCAGTCCTTCCACTTCGTGCACAGGTTTTTTGAGTTTCCTCCACCCTGCTGCATGCTAATGAAGAAGGTTGGCGGTGTCATCTGCTAGAGGCAAATCCCAGGATATATCTACAAGCATCCAGAAGGGGAGGGTTAACTTGTCTTGAGTTAGGACCCTCTAATTAGTGTTCTCCTAAAGCTTGTCAAAATATATTCCTTTGAGTTGAAGCAAGTAAATTGTGATGTCTTGAAAGTGTCTATGTAATGGATAATTTGCTGGGGTCAATCACTAGCCTATTTTGCATTTGATCATCAGTGATTTATTACTATATAAAAAGGCCAGCATTATTATCACATAATCATTTATACTATTAGTTTAATTACAATAATAATAATGATATGTTAGTTCAAGGGTGGTACATTATATAATATATATTTATTTAAAAAGTAGTCACAAGCATTTCAAATTGAAAAACAATGATATCTCTTAGTGATTTCCCCCAGAGGTATATTTCAAGTAAAATATGCTTTTGACGTGGCAAAGTGTTAATAGGAAAACTTTTTTAAATTGAGGTATAATTGATATGTAACTTCATATTAGTTTCAGATGTACAGTGTAATGAGTTGATATTTGTGTGTATTATGAAATGATTACAAGACTATTTAACATGCATCACCATACATAGCTACAAAATTTTCCTTGATATAAGAACTTTTAAGATCTATTTTCTTATCACTTTTCAAATAAACAATATAAAATTATTAACTATAATCACCATGCTGTTCATTGTATCTCTATGGCATTTATTTTATAACTGGAAGTTTGTGCATTTTGACACCCTTTGCCCAGTTTTGACCACCTGCTACCCCCTGCCTCTGGCAGCCACCGGTCTCTTCAGTGTAACCATAATGTAGTTTTTAAAACATTTTTAAAAACTACAAACTTGCTTGTTTAAGGTATTATGCCTACATATTTTATATGCAGATTTATTCCCTGTCCTCATAAGTAGCTATGTAGTCTGGAAATTCTTGGTAGTGGAAATTAAAAATAAAACCTGTTTTTTTTTTTTCCATTTCCATCTTTGATATTTTTTATAGTTGCTCTTTTCTACTTTTGATTCTTTCTTTGATAGCAGATTGCAGGATAACTTTTATGTAAGCATTTTAGTTTTAGCTTTATTTAAGATAGAATAAAATATATAATGATTTAGCTCAGAAATGGAACACAGCTTCAAGAAAAGGAAGATCTATGACTTTTTTCCCCCAAGTTTTGTGGTATATTTTTCATGTGTTGTTCAAAAAAGCAGTGCAACCTGTAAAATACTAGATATTTACTGAGCATCTAACATATGTTAGGCAATATGTAGACAATGAATTTATAAGTATAATAAGATACAATGAAAAACAGACCTTGTTCCCTTTCAGTGAAACATTCTTTCCAACATTTGAGACATTTGCAAAGCACAGTATGCTTATTAGAATAAAAGATATTATTTTAAGAAGAAATGCTCTGACTAAAGAAGCACATAATGTACTTAATGCAAAAGACTGACACACTGGAAGTTATTGATGGTGCAGCAGCTAACAAAAGAGATAATAAAAATCACTGAAAAAAATGAATTCAGATGCCAAAATCAAATTGAGTATGGCTCAAAAGAAGGAAAAATTTAATAAGTTCCATTATGGTTTAAATTCCCCCCAAAAAAATGATGCCCCATGTGATTTACAGGTGAACCAAAGGAAGGATAAGAATATTATCTGTCATTACATAAAAGAATGAAAAGAAATTAGATTGGAAGGGCTGTTCTGTCCTAGCATCAGGCATACACATGAGTCTATTTAGGGGGGAATTAAGGAAATTCATGAGTGATATAGGCTTTGATTTTATAATTTTAAACTAAAATTGAGAGCAATCTGAACCTATCTTAGAATAAGAACAGGAAATTTTAGCACAATTTTCCTATTAACTATCTAGTTGGTGAACTTTTTTATTACTTTCAGATGTTCAAACTTCAGGTCCCATGTCTGCGCTCACAAAATATTTCTATGCACATAAAAAAGGTAATTTCATGCCTAAATGGAAAATTCTGCCTGCATTTTGCATATAGAATATTCATTTACATAAACAAATTCATGTTTTGAGGAAACACACTTTGTGAGTTCAACTTAGGTATCAATGGATGAAAAATTTCATGAATATCAGGTCTGGTTGGATGACTTTAGACAAATCTTTTGCTAGTTAGCCAGCACCCCGCCCCACCACCAATCTGTTAAGTGCTATCAATTTTAGGCTTTATGATCTCCCTGAATTCCATCTATGAATGGTTCAATTAATATATTGTAACATTGCCTTTTGTAAAGTAAGACTAAACTAGAGACAAATTGACAACAAAAAAGTAATGCTGTTGTGATATTATGAACTGAATATCATGTCCTTTAGGTAAAAATCTTGTCCTGAAGGTTGGGAATTCCCATGTTAAAGAGAAATAAGTTGTTGAAATACAAAGTTAAGAAAATGAATCAGAGTATTAGATCTGTAAGACACCTTGGCCTTTATATTTCTAATCCTTTTGACTTCTACAGATTGGTTGATCTTAGACCCCAAATTTTTCCCATGTATTTCCCCTCATTGCATTCTCTCCATGGAAGATAAAATCCTCAGGGGAGGAAGCAGCTTCCCTCAACATTTTAAGGTCCCTGGCTGGATCTGAAAATTAAACTGACAAAGACACATTAATAGGAAAAAAGCATACAGATTTATTTAATATAAATTTTATGTGACACAGGAGCCCTCATAAGGTAACGAAGACCCAAATAAACAGCTAGACTTGAGTCTTTTGTGCTAGTTTGATAAGGAGTGCACAGTTGGGCGTCCCAGGTGGCACAGTAGTAAAGAATCTGCTGATGCAGGAGATGCAAGAGACATGGGTTCAATGCCTGGGTTGAGAAGATCCCCTGGAGGAGGAAAAGGCAATCCAGTATTCTTGCCTGGGAAATCCCACGGACAGAGGAGCCTCGTGGCCTACAGTCCATGAGGTCACAATGAGTTGGACAGGACTGAGCATGCACACATAGTTTGGAGAAACATGGTAGGTTGAGGGGTATGAGGCAATCATACACACCAGGGGAAACTTAGCAAAACCTGTTTGTTAGGATTCTTCTTCCCTTGGTTTTTATGCTCCTTTTTTTCTGGATGTAGGGAAAACATCTCTTCTGGGGAGTTTGCAGCCTGTTTCAGGGAAGAAGGGTGGGGTAGGGGGAGGTCTGTTATTTTCTCAAACTCCTTTGCTTAAGGTACTCAATATGCCAAGATGTCATACTTTGTGGTAGTTTGTCTTAAAGCCCATGGAATTGAAAATATTCTGCTAAAATGAAATAACTGTTTATTATATTATCAGAATTGATGGGTAGATTAAATTACCTGAGACAAGTGGGAGATCAAAGAAGTCGGAAGGAGGACACATCTTAGAATCAAGAAAGCTTGATGACATATACTTGGGTATTTATTCCATATATATATATATATATATATTTATTTATTTAAAGGCCATCTTGGACTCCTTTTGTTGGCATTATTTAGTTTAAAATTGTATTTGTCTTTTCAACCATATCCTTAGTATTGTTATGACAATTCTTTTTGCAATTTGCACAATTTCAGACTTGGAAAAATATAATACGCCAAACTTTAATTCCGAAGATTATGAAAATGTTCACATGCCTTCACTGCCTTACAAGCCCCCCAAATCCATGAAATAAAATATGACCCATTTATACTTTCCTTTATCAGATTACCTCGGTGTTCTCAGCCAGAGCTGCCTGGCTACCTACCAATACTTTCCTACCTGTAGAAAACAGATCCTTCCCCAGGGTGGTGCATGTTTTACGCCCCAATCAACTCCTGTCCTCCCACCCTCCATTTGACATCCTGATTCTCTCAAGTCATGTGGCTCACTGGTAAAGAATCTACTTGCCAGTGCAGGAGATTCAGGTTCAGTCTCTGGGGCAGGAAGATCACCTGGAGGAGGAAATGGCAACCCACTCCAGTATTCTTACCTGGAGGATTCCAGGGACAGAGAAGCCTGGTGGGCTACAGTCCGAAGGGTCACAAAGAGTTGGACACAGCTGAGCGTGAGGCTTCCCCCTCATCTCAAATGCCCTTAATAGTAACATGTTAAGAGTAAGTAAATTGTTTTTTTTTCACAACAACACTCATTTTTCATGTATTTGTAGATAAAAGCTTCATTGTTACCATTACTAGTTCAGGAGACCTCAAGATACATGTTTTTAACTTTCCTAAGATACAGGTGCAGGACTTTTTAAAATCTTTTTTGGGGTTTTTTAGCAATTGCTGTGAAGGAGTATATCTAAGTGGCATAAGTTAAACAGGAATCAGACACCCCTTTTGCAAAACAATGAGCTAAATCTGGTTTCTGATCAAGTAAAAGCTAGTCTGCTGCAGTCTAAACAGGGAGTAGTATTAGAAAGATCAACTAGCCTCAGCCCACTCCAAATTCCAAAGCACATCAGCAGTGACCCCATCAGGTCCATCCATTGCAACTTTGATGCAAAGCTCAAATTGTGTGAATCAAGACACAATAAACATTTTTTTTTTTTTCAAAGAGTGGTGGTTTGGAGAACTTTCCAGTTCCTCTCTTCTCTCCTTCTGATCTACATGTACTGGTTGATGCCTAACTCAGAACATTTTCAAGTACATTTCCTTTCATCATATCTTCCTCATGGAAGCCAGGTGCATCCAACAAAAGATTCTATTATAGTGAAAAACTTTATTTAAAGGGATTAAAACACCTGAGACTAGTGAGTGTTCAAAGAGTTGGGATGGAGGTCACTACTCAGGACCAAGAACACATGAGACAATTACTCCGTCTTATTGGCCCCATGGTTTGATAAGTTTTTTGTTAAGATTGAAATTCATTTTGAAGACTTCGCTGTAGCAAGAACAATAGCTTACCAATAATCACCTTCTTTCTCTTTTCTTTTATAAAGATTCATGGTGTTTAGGAAGGTTGCATCAGATAAGTGGCAGATAAACTAATTCCTCTCCTCCCCTCCTCTCTACTCTCATCTTGTATTCTTTCTTCTTTCATGACATTCCTGCTGGATCTTTCTTGTCAAAGGAAATTATCTTTCTGAGCTATTAAGCTCTCTAAGACTGAATATTTCTTTCCTTTTATCTCCTCTGTAAAACACTCTTCACTCTTTTCCTTCACAAAATACTTAATGGCTCATTAGATTCTGACTCTAAACAACAAAATCATCTTACTCCTTTAGAAGTTTTACATCCCTTCTCTAGAGGACAGAAAGAGCTTCCACCTTGAATGCTTGTAACACAGCACAGAAGAAGAAAAAAGAAAAAGAGAAGAAAGGAAAAAGGTGGGAAGGAAGGGAAAAATCTTCATTCGGAAACCTGAGGATTCACCTCCTTCTACCCTCAGAGAGCAGATATCTTGCTCTCAGAATTTAAATGTGCGCTAGCGCTTTGGGAATTTTCTTCTATTTAAAAGTTAGAGTGCCACTCTGGCCCCTTACTAGTAACTGGCATATTATTTTTCCAGCCCTGAACTCTGTTCAGCCCTGTTGATGAAGTTCTTTTACCTGAAGTGATCTTAGCAACTGTCTTGCCCTTGTTACTCCTTCTTTTACGATAAAAATAATCTTTTTTTTTTTTTTTAAGGAGACTGAACCATCCAGCCTTTATACCTCCTAGTTAAGACATTGCCGTTGTGATGTAGTTACCTGTCACCTCTTTCACTGTTGACCAAGGACAGAAAGCTTGTTAAGGGAGTCCTGTTGCCCTATACTGTATGATTAGACAAGACTTACATTTGTTTTATAATAACATTAACTACTGTACTATATTATTTTAAGGTGTAATTCATCAAAAAATACATGCTGTCCTCACTTCCTCATCTCCCTCCTCTTCTACCCGCCACGTGCAAATACAGACTCAGAGATACACGTGTTCCGCTTGTACTCACTCCAGTTCTATAACCATAGAGATACCCTTTATCTGGTGACAAAAAGAAAGAAAGAGCCTCTTGAGGCCTGAGTCTGCAAGCCTAAACTTAACAGGTGACATTCAAGCCGTAAAAAGGAATATACTTTCCTATAGAAGGATCAGAGTGTAAGATATATCATCAAATGAAATTGGGCCCTCGAGGGCTCTTTCTAGCTCATACTTATTGATTGGAATAGCAAATGCAGTAATTTGTAGGCAGCTAGCTTGTGACACATTGTAATGAAGGAGACATATGTAAAAGTATGTGGAATTAACAAGAGCAATGTTACTCCTTCAGCATTGTAGATGAAAAACACATGCAGTTTTGAAACTTCAGCTTTGCTGTTTCAAAGACCCTGAGAGCATCTGTTAGGTATTGTATGATCTCATCTCTAACACAGCATATGCAGTCAGCTTTTCAGCATGTCAACCATTACTAAGCAAGGAGTCAGAAAACGAGCAGGCAGGTCACTTTTCACCTCATTAGCACAGCAGGAGGGGGCCCTGGAAAACAAGATGCTAGCAGAAGCCAGGGGCTTGCTGATATTTTTTTGAATAACAGAGGAAGGACCCAGCTGTGTGCGCCTTCTAACTGTGTACTTCTGTGCTTTCTCACGTAACCCCTTCCTTTTTCTTCTGACCTTTAATCAGTTTGACCCCTGAAGTGTTCATAAACCACCACAAATTTCTTTCTGTGGAATATATAATTTGTCTCTATGTTTCCTCATGGTCGATCTTGGTTTTAGCACAATTCTATTGCAATATGATATGGATACACAGTCTTTAATGTCCTTGAAAAGACTGAACTTCAGGGTACTTTGGACACACACAGAGAAAATAGAGAAGATAATGGGAAAGCAGCTATCATTTCATTCTCTGAACTGCTGCTTGCATTTATAAAGTTATCAAATAAAGGTTTACTTTCTGCTCTGAAATTTGTTTTCTATTTATTCATCTTTTCATTATCAATCTTATTATCACAATGGTGACTCCTTTATCAGTCTTAACTTCTGGGTTGCTACAGTGATCAGATCCCTTCTGCCAACCCACGATGGACAAAATATATATAACTTTCTTTTTTTCAAGCCATTAAAGTTTGGGATTATTTGTTACACAGCATATTGTAGCTGAACCTGAGCAATCAAAAGAGCTAAAATGTATTGGGCAGGCACATTGTACCAGGCAGCGTGCTAAATACTTTATGCACGCATACTAAGTCTATTCAGTCCTGTCTGACTCTTTGAGACCCCATGGACTCTAGCCCACTGGGCTCCTGTGTCCATGGCTCCAGGCGAGGATACTGGAGTGGGGTGCCATTTCCTCCTCCAGGGGATCTTCCCAACCCAGGGATCAAACCTGCATTGCTTATGTCTCCTGCATTGGCAGGTGTGTTCTTTATCACTAGCGCCACCCGGAAGGCCCCCCAGAAAGCTTTATAACTACCGTCTTAATTTCTTAACAGTGGTGTGTGGACGGAAGGCACTACTCTCATCCTCATTTCAGAGTGAGAATGCTAGAACTTGCAGGTATTGTTTTCACACCTCTTCTGCATCTTTCCAAAACGTTTTTGCATCATCTCCTCTCCTAGTCACGGCCACAGAAACCAACCCCAAGTGTGCCTCTTACTTCTGACTCTGGGCTTTTCCTGCTCCACTGTGTGTGGCATCCACAACTTTGCTTTGTGAAAGCACAACCCAGACCCACATAACCAGGACGTGGGCCAGCGAAACCTAGTTGTGTTATCACCTGACCCAGGGGCAGGAGACAACGAGAAGTGGACTCTCGACCTCCTTTTTCCAACTGCAGATAGTTCTGGCACACGTCATAGGCTTCCTCATAAAGGTCTTAAAGTCAGTGCTTAATTTGATAAGACATTTTTTGAACTGACTTTTTTTTTTCATTCCCTTTTTCTCCTATTGCCCTGCATTCCTTTCCCCTCAGATTGGTCATGAGGCAAAGTCCTGGCCTGGAAGCCTTTGTCTCAGACTCTACTTTGAAGTAGAACCAAGAATAAGACACTAAATAACTCTCCCAGAACACAAGAAAGAAAGTGAAAGTGAAGTCGCTCAGTCGCGTCCAACTCTTTGGGACCCGGTGGACTGTAGGCCACCAGGCTCCTCCGTCCATGGGATTTTCCAGGCAAGAGGACTGGAGTGGGTTGCTATTTCCTTCTCCAGGGGATCTTCCTGACCCACGGATCAAACCCAGGTCTCCCACATAGTAGGCAGATGCTTTATCATCTGAGCCACCAGGGAAGTCCAGAATACAAGGCTTCCGTGCAAATCTAGGATTAATGAAGAGTAAAGATTTCATCTAGAAAAGACTTTTTTTCCCCCCCAATATGTAGGGGGCACTAGTCCAAACTCACTGGAATAGACACTTAAGCAGTTTTTCTTTTTTTACCTGCCATACTCTGCTCTTGTTTCGGTTTTTTTTTAGTTTATTGACGGCCTTATACATTATGATGGTACTTCTGAAAAATACTGAAAAGCAGCTTACTTTTTTATATGTAAACTTAATTTTTTAGAGCAGTTTGAGATTCACAGAAAAATTAAGCAGAAAGTACAAGAAGTTCCTCTTTGCCTCTGCTTCTACACCATGCATAACCTCCCCAGTCACAAACAACGCCCCCAGCAGGATACATTTGTTACAACTAATGAATCAATAGAAATGCAGCATTATCACTCAAAGACCATAGTTCACATTAATAATGTTCACCGTTGTATGTGTTAGAGACATTTTTATCTCATATTCAGTAATTACTTCTGTTTCTTTCATTAGCTTAAAATAAAGTAACAATAAAGGTAAAATTTTTATTTCAAATGCTTTAAATATGAAATAATTTTTATAAAATCATTTGTTCTTCCTTCTTTTTACATATATTAGTAGAAAAGTGTTCAGCTAAGGTTAACAGTGGTTGCTTTGAGTGGTGGAATAGGAAGCAATTACATTTTCTCTATTGCCTGAATGTCCTATAATAAATGTGCTTCGTCTCACCAAAATAAAATATCATTATTAAAGAAAAAACTAAATAGAAAGTTATATACCCTAGGGACCACTGATAAATATTTCCACAATAAATATTAATCTGATTTATAACATATTTGGCAGAATTGACTTAGGCACTGCCTTAGTATATGTTGTTACAATTTTCATTTTTTGGTGCCACAGCAAGTCCATTGAGTAGCTGGCTTCTTTTAAGAACTCAATGTTTTCTCATATAATGATGACTTTTTCTGCGTTCTACTAATACGTAAAATTCTTTCTTTTTTTTTGAGTGAGAACTTTTTATTTCTTTACAAAAATTTTTCCATGTTCTGACTTGAAAAAACAAACTTTAGTATATATTTTGGGCTTTAAATTACCATTTTTAATATTACCTATACAGCAGTGTATTACCCATATGCTCTTCTAAAGTCTTCCTGTCTTGGGACTTTCACACGAAAATGTTTATAATTATCTATAGTGCATGCATGCTAAGTCACTTCAGTTATGTCTGACTCTTTGCAACCCTATGGACTGTAGCCCACCAGGCTCCTCTGTCGGTGGAATTCTCCAGGCAAGAATACTGGAGTGGTTTGCCATGCCTTTCTCCAGGGGATCTTCCTGACCCAGGGATGGAGTTGTCAACTGTTACATCTGCTGCATCAATAGGCAGGTTCTTTTCCGCTAGTGACAGCTGGGAGGCCCTCTATCTATAGAGACTAACATATTATAGCTTATGGAAAATAAGATTGAGAATTTGTGTCATCACTCTATTTTACAGTAAGAGAGGCCCATATGTCATTTAAAATTTTCTGATTGTCATATTAAAAGCAGTAAATTTTAATAATTGTAATTCTTTTTATAATATTTTATTTAATCCAAAGTATATAACATACCAAAAGTATTTCAGTGAATAATCAAGATGATGATTATTGAGATATTTTGCCTTTTTTATTACTAAGTCTGTGAAATCAGGTGAGAACTTTATACTTACAGGACACCTCTGTTTGATCCAGCTATATCCCAAGTCCTCAGGAGCTGTGAGTGGGTGGTGACCAGCACGTGGGACAGTGCAGCCAGGTCTAGAGCTTGCTATTTTTGTTTATAACTTAGCAATTCTTCCAGTCATAGTTTATTTCCTCTATTATATAGAGGGCTTCCTAGAGGCTCAGATGGTAAGGACTTTTCTAACTCCCTGAATATTTTCAATCATTCAGAAAAACTTTTTTTTTTTTGGATCGGTTCTCTAGAGTTTGGTTTTCTCTGCTTCATTTATTGCAAAGTGCCTCATGAAAACCTGTAGTTTACTTTTTATCAGCTGTATATTCAACAATTATACAACTTCAGGGCCAAGTCACAAGCCGGATATATGAAACAATGCATTTTCAGGGTTTAATCTTAGATTGGCTTGATTTAAACCGTATTCCAGAAATATGCTGTGTTCGTAAGCTGAAATTCTTTATGTTATATAATGCCCCAAGCATTAACTCACTAAGATAGCCTAATGTCTAGAAAAAGGTACTAATAGAGCCAATAAAGTATGTACTTCACAAAACAGTTCAATTTGAGGAATTACTCTATCAATTTCTTTAAATCTTCCTGCATCACAGATTATTTATTTGTAAAATGGGGATAGTACAGAATCTACCTCATGAGAACATTGTAATAATTAATTAGCTAATACGTAGAACCACTTAGAAGTATGGCTGGTACATAAATAAATATTGTTTCAGTAAATATTAGCTGTCGTTTTTATTTCAATCACAGTTTTATCAGATTGTTTTTCCCAAAAGTAAAAGTAAGTAGAAATTCAAGTATTTTGAGTAGTACAATAATTATTACTAATGGCTTTACCTTTTTGAGTATTGATTATTAGAGGCATAATCTGTACATATAAAAAGACTATGTACAGAATCAAATATGTAATACATATATTCTTGAGTACAAATTATATTTTTCCTCTATCAGAAAAATATTAGGTGAAATTTATAAATTTGCAAGAGTTAAATAATTCACACTTTTCCATCTTTTCCCATTTCTCTATAAAGGAAAACATTTTCAACATTCTGATTTGTTTAATTTATATTTCAATATATTATCACTTCCCTGTCAAACTTGAATATATTTGGGTAATTTCAACTACTTACCTACCCTTGGCAAGTTTGGCAGAGTATGTTTATGTTCTGGCAACTTTTCAGATTCACGGCTGATCACTGAGTTGATGCTATAATGGAATTTATCAAGTTAGATAAATAGATTGTGTGTGATTTTATGTGTTCATAAATATTAGTGTGTCTTTTAAGGTAGTGGTGAATGGAGGGGAAAAGAATATTAGAACTGCCATCTCTATGAACTACAGATTACAGGCACTCACAAGAAAAGTAGTAACTTTTCTTAAAAGGCAGTAAAGACCTAGACCTTGACACACTATTTGATAGAATAGTTTAGCAATTTGTTGGCCCCACATTTTTCACTATTTCTGATTGCATAGTTGGTGGATAGGATAAAAGTTGGCAAGCTGGGAAAATGAAGCTTTTACTGTGTGTAGGAAAGAGGATGTAATGCCACTGTAAGTAAAGGACAGAGCTCTTATGCAGTTTAGGTACCACAAAGAAAGCAATCATTCTGACACTGGGGGGAAGATAGCTTAAACTGGGAAGTTACTCAGAACATCCATTATTCCATATTTTTAGTGATGCATCCTTTTGTCCAAACCAATCAATGTGCTTGTAATTATTCCAAGTGCTGTGCAAACTTCTCCTAGAATCAACTCACTGTGAAACATCACCTTGAATCAGTAAGAAGAGCAGAATTCCCTGGAGTTTGGAGGGTTCTCCAAGGACACCCGCTGGCTCCCCACCAAGAGTTTTAAGCTAAGAAGTTCTGAAATAGGACTTTCCCCTTTGTTAAGATTTCTCCTGTAGTACTTTGAGCTCTTTCTTAAGCCCCTCACCCCACTTATCTCCTGTAGCCTGGGCTGAATGACAATATTCCCTTTTTGTATCTGGGTCTGATTAGGAAAGCATTAGGTTCCAGTATACAGGTCTGAAATGGTATGGAGAATAGAGCATTTAAAAAAAAAAAATCAAGCAAACCTTGCTTCTTTGAAGTCAGCGGCCAAGATTATAAACATGATAAACATGTTTATAAACATTATAAACATGATAAACATGTTTATAAACATTATAAACATGATCTATGAATAAAGGTACTACAGAAAATGTCTAAATGTTTTTTTCTATTTTAAGAAGTGTTACTGAATACCTAATAAATTGTATAGTTATTTGAGCTAATGTGTGCTAGTCTCTCAGTTGTGTCTGACTCTTTGCAACCTCATGGTAGCCTGCCAGGTTCCTCTGTCCATGGAATTCTCCAGGCGAGCACACTGCCGTGGGTAATCATTCATTCTCCAGGGGATCTTCCCAAACCCAGGGATTGAACCCAGGTCTCCTGCAGTGCAAACATATTCTTTACTATCTGAGTCACCAAGTGTCTGAGCTAATAGGTCACAACAATTTGTTGAATTACATACTGCCTCCTTTGGCTATACACGTCACAGTCAAGTGTAATGGTTCACTGAATATTTTTATTGGGAAGAAGAGACCTAATTACTGCTATTGACTGACAATCTCCTGCCACACTGTCTTATGAGAGAATCTACAACAGTTAAAAATGAATCACATAGCCTGCATATCAGCATGTTTACTAGTTTAAAATCAATTTGATTTTGCAGCAGTGCCAGGTAATGATGTGAAATGTTTTTCTACAGAGGATCCAGATGTACACAGGGCACCAAAAGTATGTTGTCAGTTTGAACCAAATGTACCAAGAAAGTCATTTGCAGAGTGACTTGACTCCAACTCACTTTTCTCCCTAGTAATCTTTATTTGGAATACTTTATTTCCCCAAGTCAGCCCACCTTTCTTTTTGTAAGTCAAAAGAAATATAATAGAGCATCAAGTTATGTTACACAGTTTGAGTATGTCACAGAGTTTGAGTAACAGACCCACCCCCAAAACAAAAGAGAAAGAGGGAGAAAGAAAAAAAAAGGGAAAAAAGAAAACTAAGCAAATAGAAATAAAGCTTTTTCAACTGCTAGGATAAATTAAATCATCTTACACTTTGCACCAAAGATAATTACCCTTGAACTACAGCACATCACTAGAGGAAGATAGAGGGTATGAAGCTTTAGTAATCAATGAAGAAATTTAAATACATTATCCTCTCTATCACCTGAGATGATGGCATATGGGAAAGAGAAGTGCTTGTATTGAATCTCACAAATGATGCAAATCACCTTTGGCAAAGCATAATGTGACACAGACTATGGATTTAATTACCTTTTTGTTTCTGTTTATTATTTGTTTGGTTGGTTTTGCTTTACTATAGGATTTCATCTTGCTTTTGTTTTTGGTTTATGATGGGTTGAAGATCTTAAAAATCCTATGGATCATTCCCCACATAAAGCAAAAATCTGAAGGGTCCCAGGTGGTGGTGGTGCTAAGTTGTGTCCAACTCTTTTTGACCCCATGGACTGTAACCCACCAGGCTCCTCCCCCCTTTAGGGGGTCTTCCCAACCCAGGGATCGAACCCAGGTCTCCGACATTGCAGGTGGATTCTTTCCCATCTGAACCACCAGGGAAGCCCAAGAATATTGGAATAGGTAGCCTATCCATTCTCCAGGGGATCTTCTCAACCCAGGAATTGAACCAGGGTCTCCTGCATTGCAGGTAGATTATTTACCAGCTGAGCTGCCAGGGAATACTGGAGTGGGTTGCAGTTTCCTGCTCCAGGGAATCTTCCCATCCTAGGGATCAAACTCAGGTCTTCTGTGTCTCCTGAATTGGCAGGTGGATTCTTTACCACTGTGTCACCTGGGAAGTCTGAAGGAACCCACGGGAAGACCTTTAATTACTGAGGAAAAATCAATATGGAAAAACCTATGTCGATTAACAAATGAACTGAGTTCTTGGATTCTGGAAATCCAACAGAAGTCCTTCCGTTCCTATGGCTTTGAACTAATCTAAAAAAGTGTGAGACATTGGGTTCTGATCTTCAAAACAGCAGCACAATAAGCTTTCTAGAATGAGTGTGGTGTGTGTGTGTGACTTCAGTCATGTTGCACTCTTTGTGGCCCTGTGGACCATAGCCTACCAGGCTCCTCTGTCCATAGGAGGAATTAATAGAATTAAATTTCTATTTATTTCTATAGGCTATTTGTAGGGGGATGCTTATCTTTCAGATTGATTAGTAAGGGCCTTTAAATATATTTAAGTTGCTTTTTGTCACACCCTTTGTTTTTCTTTTGTTTTTAAATTTTGTGTGTGATGATTTAAATTTTAGTGGAGTAAATATATTAATTTTCCTTTTTGATTACCTGTTTACTTTTTTCTACTGGTTTCAGCAGTGATTTTTTTCCCAAATATTTTTGAATATTTGTATACCTACAGAAAAGTGAACTAACAGTACAATGAACACATAAATACCTTTTGCCTAGACTCATCAATTTTAAACATTTGCTGCACTTATTTTCTTTCTCTTTCTGTCTTCACCTGCCTCTATACACACACACACATACAAACACACACACACATGAAGCTTTAGTATTTTCAACTCTAAATATTTCAGCATATGTCTAAGAACAAGAGCATTCTTTTACATAACAGCATATCATTATCATATCCAAGATTTAACACTGATATAGAAATAAATTTAAGGAACTAGATCTGATAGACAGAGTACCTGATGAACTATGGACAGAGGTTCATGACATTGTACAGGAGGCAGTGATCAAGACAATCCCCAAGAAAAAGAAATGCAAAAAGGCAAAACGGTCGTCTGAGGAGGCCTTACAAATA